CAAGTATCTGCTCCTTCTGCAGTGACATAGGTGTCACTGAAGAGTGGGCTTGGCCACAGAAGTATCTCACCCTCCATCGGTCCCCAGTTTCCCATGTGTCCTTAGCCTCTATTGAAAATCACGGGGAAGAAGTAGCAAACAAAGATGGGCTGCTCCAGCTGCGTACAGACTCTTTCAGAAGCCAGGCATTAATGCAAGAGCTGTAACAGGAGGGACTGGAAGGTGCAAATACGGGGGGAAAAAAAGCCACGTGCACGAGTTTATAGTTCTTAGAAGCAGATCTGGGATCTGAGAAACAGGCTGACCTCACAACAACCTTTCCAAGACTGAAAGGTCAATGACAAAACACTAGATAATCTGCTAAAGGGAGCGATTCTGCCTTCGTTGGCAGACGAGGCAGGCAGAGCGTGCAAGGCACTGTGCTGGGCAGGCAGCTGCCTAGAAAAGCTGGCACCCAAGAGCCACCAGCTCTGCTCTGCCTGGACCTCCAGCGCAAGATTAAGCAATCCAGGTGGGAATCTCTATGGCCTCCTTTCCTTTTTTAGAGGCAGTCCCTTCTTGGTAGTCTTACTGTCCCAGGGAGCTGCAGGAACGGCGAGCACATTTCGGAGGGTTTCTGCACCCAGAAACCCTCCGAAGCTGCCCCCAAACTCTACTCTCTTCTTCTCATCTCCTTTTTGCACCTCAGGACTACCATGGTTGCACTGTCCTTTTTATCTCCGCATCCATCTAGGGCCCTCTGAGATTACACTGCCTCGTACCCTGAAGCCTCAGTGTCTCTCCCCAAACCCCCTCCCATGTCCTACACCCTTATGTGCTTTGCTGCCACGTAAATGGATTTTTGCTTACATGGCTCAGAGGCCCTGAGCTAGAGTTCGAGACAGATGACCTGAAAGAGTTAATTTGTGTCACTCAATAAGAATTACCTTTGTGATAGAGATGGCCCTAAGGGCCTTGTCCAATGCACTGAGTAATTGAAAAGGCTCCCACTGACTTCAGTAGGCATTGGATCAGGCCCTAGGTGATTGAAGAATTAGCTTTGATGATTTCTGAGGCAAATGAGCTTTTAGAAACTTTGATTCTGTTTATGTTAATGCTTCTGCTTGCAGTACAGCTATGGTGACACCTGGTCCCATTGACTCATCTTTAATAGAGTTACCTAAAGATCAAAGAAAAGTGAAGACTTCAGACTTCGACGTATTAGAATTGGTCATCAAGGTAACATAGAAGTGGAAACTGAATTTAGATATCTACAAAAGACACCCCAAAGGGCTGGGAATTTCTCCTGCTTATATACCACATTAACAAAGACTCCAATATAGCATATTATGACTACCCAGAAAAGATACAGTACTTATGTATAGGTTTAGGTATTATGTGAAGTGATTTATACTGCTTAAAACATACTCTGCATACCCTGCTTGCTAAAGACGAAGTGAACCACATTTAGTTTTTATATGCACTGTGGCTCAAGCCAACAAAGCCAACCGCACCTGGAGAAATTGGGAAGTCACAGACTATGACTGCAATTCCCATACACATCCACCACACTGAGTACATAGGTTAGCCTACGTATCAGACTGTAAGCAGATAGGAGATAAGGCTGAAATCTTTCCCAGTTCTAATTCAAGTTTATACAGTTAAATGGGTTGCAAACATTGTTCAGGCTGTACAAGAACAATGGATTATTCTAGTGACAGTTTTCCAACCTTTAATTACTTTTACGTAACAACAACGCTCTCACGGAGACTGGTAGCACTGGAAGATCTCCCTGTCTCGCGCCCAGACACACAGCAGCTTAAATGCTGCCAGTGCCATGACGTGCGGGGCTGAGGTCAAAGCCTCGGAGGGCTCCTCAGCGGTCAGTCAGGTGACCTCTGTTTCCAGTCTTTGCTCCCATAACCCGCCTGAGGTCACTCACTCATTTATCCGAGCAATCACAGTAAGGCAACACCTTTCGCACATGCAGACACTAACTTCCAGCCCCCACTACAGGGGAAGGGCTCCGCATCCCATGAGAAACTCCGTGTTCGGGTTTGCTGGGTTTTCGTTTGTTTCTTTAAACGCCAGTAGTCTGGAGAGCTTTCATTTTTTGTGTCTAAAATAATCCAAATTACATGGCACAGGTGTTCTGACCTCAGGAGCACAGAAGGAACGCTCTGCGCCCCGGCGCTCCAGCCACTTTGGCCAACTGGGAACCTGCCACGAGGCCAATCCTCCACGTGGAGGATGTGGCCAGCAGCGCCACGCGCGTGGCTTCTCCCTAGGGACGATGACACATAACTGGAGGTGGAAGTCAGCAAACATGGTTCCTCATTCCAGCGCTGGGCTGATGTCGATTTAGGTGCTTTAAAATTTTGATGCTGAAGCTGACACTAAGCACGGCACAGGTCTCCGCTGGAGGAGCTCTAACCCCCGGTGAAGCCACCATTAGCCCACCATCACACCCTATTCCCAGCTCGTGCTACAGCTGTCACTGTCCTATTAATTTTGCTAGCCAACAGTCCTACTGCTTTCCCGATTATAGAAAGCGATAGCAGCTTTTCTGTGTATCTATATCTATTTTTATCGACAGGAACAGTATCTATAGGCAACATGATAATACGTAGTTTAGTTTGCTACCATGAGTGACCACGAGTTATCCAGCGGACGTTTAGCAACTATCCTAGACACTCAATGCTACGTTTCGGCTCAAAATAATTTTTAAAACGCGCAAATGCGGATCTTAACATTACTTTAAAATCCCCCCCTGTGACACTATGTAATTTATTATTTTGCTAATGAATGAGAAACCATATATATTTTAAGCATAGCATGTGCTGAGACTCAGGGCAGCTGGTGTGGGCAGAGCAAGCGCTTCCCCCAAATGGCAGCAGGAGCCAATCCTTGCCGGCGCTGCCCCGCGGCCCGGCACTCAGCTTGCACGCTGCCCCGGCTGCTCGGACACCACGGGAAGGTGGGCAAGCTTTCATGGACACAAAAAAAACGAGAACGCCCTCAAAGTCTTTCCTCCAGTGGTTGTTTAAGAAAAGTGCATTCACATACCACATACAGAGTGGTTGCACTTAACCTGTCAGGCTTATTTACTTCTACCCATTAATTAAAACACAGAACAAGGAGGCACCGGCAGGCCTATCTGCAGAGGATCTGATTTTTTTCCCCCTCTACGAGAGGTAAGTAAACCAATCTATGGAACGCAAAAACACTTTTCCCCATTTCCTATTTTTTTTCCTCCCACCTAGCATTGCAAAAGTAGCATGCAGAGCATCCCCAAAAAAATCCCGAATCCTCTGAGCGTCACATGGAAAGGGGCAAGCAGAAGATCTAGAACAAATACAGAGCAATATCAATCCATCAGCAGCAGACTTAGATAACGGAGCACACGTACCAGGGCGGTTGTGCTACGGTCGCTGCAGAAAGCGTCTCGCAGCCCGGCGTGGTCCCGGAGAGGTGCAGGGCCCCCGCGGCGCGGGGGAGGCTCGGGGCACCGGACCCCACCGCCACCGGACCGCGGCGCGCCACGGTCCCGCTACTACAGCAACACGCTCACGGAAGAGCTAAACTGCTCCCCACAAAGTCTGCTTTCGCCCAGGCTCCCGGTTTTTCCCTGTTTTTTGGAAAAACTAAAACACTTCTTCAGTCCTGCTTACCAGGCGATCGTACTTTGTGTTTTCCTAAGTTTTCTCAACCCGCTTGAAAAAATTGTAAAAGTGCCAATTGATGAAAACTGTATTGGCAATACAGTTTACGCTTCTTTGTAACCTAGCACTTTAACTCCTTGAAAAAGTTACTTTTTAACTCTACAAACCTGCCATTTTCAATTTCTGGGTGCTCATACTGAGCAAAATCAATTTTTTATTTTATAATTTGCATAATTCTACTTCTTTCCTCTGTTCCAAATTGGAGCAAATTATACGCTGAAATCATAGGGTGCATTTCCAAAACTGGCTAAGAACGTGTCTCTCTGGTGGGGAAAAGATGTGCTGTCTTGTTAGCAGACAATACGTGGTACCTAATACAAAGCAAAATCCCAGTGCAGAAATACGGTCTGAGTAGCTTTCGTGGGTATTCCAGGCTGAAATAAAACCTGTGAAAGAGCCTAGAGTTTACTTTGATCTTCTAAATAATGCTTTCTTGTCTTCACTAGGAATTTATCTATTGCGAGGAAACTCAAGTCACTAAATTGAGGTAAGCCAGTGCCTGCAGAAGTGAAGCCAGGGCTTTGAGGTTTACACAGCCCTTCTCCTTTGAAGCTAGCGCAAAGCGAGAGTTCAAATCCCGATAAACCTCCCAACGTTACCTCTGAGCTTTTCAGACGTCACAGTGACCACCTCCTCGGGCAACTATCTCATAAAGGTAAAATGCTCTAGCTGTAATTGGAAGAAGACTTAAGAATAGTAGGTCTAGAGTGAAAAAAGAAAACGTATTCTAGCAACAAACTTCACAGATATTCAAAAGGCAGTAAGTTAAGAGCAGAGAAAACGTGACTAATCAGACATGCCTCCCTCTTTGGAAAACGTGATGATAATGCCTTGAAAAGTTGACTAAACTTTGCTATGACTAAACATGAGCTGCTGATTTGAGAGAAAAGTTGATTTACAGTTTCTCACTGTGAGGCTTTTGAACTTTAATCTCTAACCCACGAAAGGGTGCAAGAGTAGCTTGAAAATTATGCTGAGCTTAATTATACCTAACGTGAATTATGCAGAAGTGCAGCAGAGAGACTAAAAATTTATTTCATACAAAGAAGCTTGACATTTTAATTGGTCCTTCAGAAAAGAGACAAAACAATTTCCTCTCCAGAAAATTTACATCTCCCCCATCAAAGCAGCAGCCGCAGCCGAGCAGAACTTCATTAACAAGATTAATTAGCCCGCCAGCGGCTGCCTCATCAGGTGCGCGGCCCAGGTGAAGAGCAGGACGCAGCGCGACAAGCGACGCCGGTCCCAGCGCCCACCACCGACGCCGACAGCAAACGGGACAGCTCGGGGACACCGTACCTTGGTCATTAGCCATTTTGTCAGGGTGCTCGACTGCAAGAAAAAGACAATATCATTAGAGGCTGACAGCTGCTGGCAGGCCAGCCCACATATCACATCACCAATTTTGTCAGCCGGCTGTCGTATCGAGAGGCCGCCTTCCTGCGCTCCCGCCGGACGGCTCAGGATGAAAGGCCGTTATTTTACCATTCCCTTTTTCAAAGCCACCCGGCAGAACCGAGAGGACAAATACAAGCTGTACTGTGTTTTGCAGCAGAGCTCTTAAAAACGTGAAAACTTTACAGGAATAGTCTTCTCACTCTCTTTTTTTTTCAAACATGGGAAGTGTAATTAAGCACAGAAGTGAAAGAGAGAGAGAGAGACGGAGCGAGAGAGAGACAGAGAAGAGAGATACTGTTTCTTTGAATAATTACAGTCACATCACCTACGAGTTGAAAGCTAATTCTGACTTATATCATCCTTGTTTCAGCTTTGCACAAAAGGAGTTTAAAACTATTTACATGTTTTTGCATAATAACCATAAAAGATAGTGTGATTTGAAGTGTACCAGACAAGACTTCAAAATTCAATAGATACATTAAAAGCTCTCCTGCACAGCTACAACTTCTGACTATTTATGACATGAGCGAGGGAATTAAATTTTCCTTAGATTCATAAATCGCTACCATTACAGAGCATTAACCAATCCTCTGCTTAATAAAATATACAAGAAACTTAAGCACAGGAAACTGGGGAAAAAGTGAGCGAGTTCTAGAAGTTCAATCACCGCTGCTTACAGATGCAGAGCATGCTGCCCCCATTTCTGCTAAAATTACTACTTAGCCCCCTGGTAGATCATGAGATCATGCTAGGAAAAAATTAAGGTACTGAGTTAGCAGTCGTTTACATCCAACCGCATCACCCTGACAGGCACATTTATGACTCCCGTGCCAGTGGCAGAGGAAGAAAAGCACCTTAAATGATCCCTATACACTTTTTTTTCCCCCCGTCAACTGTTTCAGAGGGCTGTAAAGAATAACGGGGGATACGGAGCACATGTGCCCCCATTCCCTCAAACTTTCGAGAAACACCTAAGGGAGCACGCCCTTCCCCACCGAGCCATCCCGGGGATTATGTCTTTTCCCCCGGGACAAATGTATTTATAAAAGCATTAACCCCTTGACTGCAACAGCAGTTATTTTCACCCAAGGTGAGGCTTGCAAGCTGCCCTGACGACACTCCGCCTTTGCTGCCTCCTCCGAGCTCTTAGGGAGACGGCACCTGTGGCACCTCCAGCGCCACGACGTACCGCCGTAGCGGTAGGTAACGTTTGCAGCAGGCAGGTCGTACAGGTTCACGTTTTATGCCGTTTAAGAGCAAGGATGTGCTATCTAACGCAGCTCCAACACAGCATTAGAGGGCACTGCAGCGCTAAAAATGCTGCCCCACATCATCCTTGCCAAGGGTGGGGAGCAATCGCCATCGTCTGCAATTTCAGGGCTCTTTTAGAGATGGGACGGAAATGGTACATCTAATCCTGATGTCCTGTAGAAAGTCCCGGGATGAAGTTTTCCTTGTGGATCTTAGCGTGGTCGCAATATCCGAGAGCGCTATAAAGCTAAGGCCACAACCTCTTTCTCTCTCTCTTCCTCTCTCCCTTTCCACTCACCCCTTTAGAAACACATCCGATCTAGCATTTTAGTCATGCCTGAAATTATGTCCACAGCTGCGTAATATGCACATAGGTTTCCAGGATATGCAATAGGCAATTTTTTTTTTTCATTTTATCTGTATTGATGTAATGCTTTGTGTGATTCTGACAAGCTGAATACTCTTCTTTAATTTTCTTTATTTAATGGAGTTCAGCACAAAACTAAGGTCTGTTTGTAAACGTCGTCTGAAATTCAGAATAGCTATGGTTCGGCAGAAGAAAGCATAGGTAAATTCAGTAAGTGCAATTCTGAGATTTGCTTTTCTCCTGAAGATGAAAAAAAATCACTGAAAAATTGTTTGAAAGACTGAGGGAAACCTCAATCCTGCCTGTCACCAGTCCAGTCACTCTTTAGTTGTCATGTTTCACTGGGTAGTTGCAAATACATTCCAGATTGTATGTATTCACTTCTGCAACTTAATGTATTTCTTAATTTGATCCATTTATACACTGAAAACGTAATGGGACATTATGATCTGGGCTTTAATTTCAGTGGAAACCCATGGCAATATGCTATGGAAGGCTTCAAAATATACAGATGTTATTTGGGCACGTTCTGTGTGTGTGTGTCTGTGTGTGTGTGTGTGTGTATATATTTATATGTAGTTATATATGTATATGTGTGCGTGTGTATATATATATATATATATATATATATGATATTTACTGAATTCATCCAGAGATTTTTTTGGTAAAGACTAAGAAAAATCCCAGGAAGGACCTTAAGTTTTGTTATTATATAACTTGGGCCAAAAACATGGGCTAGTTAATCACGTTTCACCCAGCTTTTGTTCCAAGCTCATAAGAATGGGTACCAGAGTCTTCATGCTTTAAGTGATAGATTTAGCCACAGCCAGCCTGAGCTTAAAAAAGCAGATCCTCAACTGATGCAAATTGTCATATATTCACCGGAGTCCACAGCGCAACGACAACTTACATAAGCTAAGGATTTGCCCGTTTGACTGTATATTATTATCCGTGCAACTGAGCTGGAAGAACATAAACTCATTGCTCCTGCGGTACTGTTATTTACTATTAAACATATCTATTTTCTCACAGATCACTACATTTTCATTAGCAAAGGCAAGTCACTACAAATACGTACATTGCAATTCTAACACAAGTAATGGCTTGGCTTCCTAGCAGGAGCTTTATGTGCTATAATATATAAAAGCAGACAGTGGTGACTTAGTGGATCTTTGATGCTCATTTAGTTCCCTGTGGTTTAAAACTTCCTCTCATCAGGACATATATTTGCTATCAGAGCATTCATTTCCATATGGCACATACACATCTTCTGTTAATAATCATTAAGTGCAGGAAACCAACATTTCTGCATAATTCAGAATGCACTCAAGGCTTCAGAAAGTCTCTTCACCTCAAATGTAGAGACAGATTTGTCAAAAAACCGTTGAATATTATTGAACATGACATATTTAGGGTGGATATCATTAAATATTCATGGCAGGGTATTAGACATAGTCCTTGTAGGCTATTACAAGATGTAACAAATTATAGATTTATCTTTTTGGTATCTGTTGATGTTGTCTGATCTAGAATTCATTTCCCAAATGAGTTTTATGGTACTCTGTGTAAACATTACAAAGTAGGTGATATCTACTCCATTAATCTGGTTTAGTTAGCTCTCTGGCTCTCTATATCTTTTGATATCTCATTAGTCTGTGGTGGTTATATCTTGATGCTTTGACTCATTTTAAACTCAGTCTAACAGCCTTCCCTCTCTTGGCACAAACTGTGAGCATGAAATTAAGTTGGCACCATCCAACTGATAGAGATGAAGCACTTGCCGAGTGCTCTCTCTTCACATTTCATGGTAGCAGAGAATGAATAATCAGGATCTTACCAATAATTCATTCGAAGTGAAACACGACTTGGACAAGCAAGTCCCGCGAACCTGGATAGGCTGTGATAAGCTCAGAACAAATTGATATAGTTTTGCTTTTTTCCGACTCTTGCTAATTCATGGAAACCGTTGTGTGAGGCTTTCACTCCCAGCCTCCACGGTCGATAGTGTGTTTTATAGACATCCGCGAAGCAAAAAGGGCAAGCTCTCTGCCAGCGCCGTGGCGAGCACTCGCTCCATCATGGAAACCCTTCCTTAAGGGTAGGTGCGAGGGACTGACTGAAAAGGGAGTTTCTCCTCCTTCCTTCAAAGGCACCAGGAACAGCCCAAACGGTTATTCATGCAAACATTTGCTCTTGCTAAAGAAATAAACATGTGAACCCCCCCCCCCCAAAAGAAATGATCTGGGAATCAAGTGTCATCATTACTCAGTCGTTTTGCTTGCCTTAAATAATGTCACATATAATTGATTAAAAAAGAGGCTTGAATCAGAACATTAATTCCGAACCTCTCACGTACAGATCTGAATCGGAATTTCCCTCCAGTTGCGACTTTTCAGGTCTGGGCCTATCTCCAGTTTCAATTACTCTCTGCCAGGATGTTATTTTTATATACAAATCTCTGGAATTTCTCTAGAAAAGACAGAGCAATAAAATGTTTTCCTGCATGCCACACTACTTTCCTAGAACAGGTTCACTGTTTATGTCATTTGATTTTTTCATTAATTATATGTCTTTCTTAAAGTAATTTTATCTTTTGTGCGAATACGTGAATGACAGTTAAAATATAAGGAGTAGAGCTGCTGCAAACATCCTGCTTCCCACTCACGGTAATACTGCTTACATCTTACTAACTAATAATTTATGGGTAGATCATGTTAGGCCTTCATGCAGACAGGCAGCAGGGAAGATATCAGAGGAATATCTCTCCATGTTAATTTGAAATGGAGCCTGCTACATGTGCGGTCCCTCGCTCTTATAAACGCAACGGCCCTGTTACAACATCTACCAAAGCACTAGCCAGCCAAATGGGTGCCCCTATTTTGCCTGCTCCTTCTCACTGGTCACTAAGGGGGAGATACCAGGCTTTGGTTTGCCAGCTGCTAACGGCAGGTACCAAAAAAATACCTGGCGCGATGTCCCGCATGCAAAGTCAGGCTGCATCTCAGGCAGTTTGCTGAGGTTTTTAAGCAGCATTTTGCATGCCGACTCTGCTGCTCCGAGAGTGAGTCATTACCAGTTCCCGCAGTCACCAGCGGATCCAAAATGAAAAGGTATCTCCCTAGAGAAATCCCGTCAGATCCAATTAGCTTTATTATTGATGGCAAAAGTTAGGTAGTGTCAGAATGCTTTCCCCTAGTTGATTGAATTTAAAAATATAGCTGCTGCCTCATTATGTGGTTTACTTTTGTCAACTACTGTATATAGCATTTTGCTTTTATCTCTCAGTAATAGTTTCAAGTAGTAGGATGTCTTCTAGCTGACATGGAATTAATTGCAAAGCTCCTACTGAGGCATAAGAAAATCCTACGTATCATTAATAACCAGATGACAAAGTTTCAAACCTTTCAGCGTCCGGAAGAAAATCGGATCAGAGAGAGGCCCCACTCCTTTGGCGTTGCGAGCCTGGATTCGGAAGTAGTAAATGGTGTCTAGGTTGAGGTCCATGATTTGGTGGGTAAGTCGGTCACCGCTGATGGACTCCATAATCCAGTCATCAATGGGGGTGTTCTTGTCCAAAGTATAGAAGAGGATGTACGCTGAATAAACACAGTCTCTCAGTTAGTACTTAAATCACATGTAATCTGTTTGCTTTATGAAATGCAGATAAAATTCAGATTTCTGAACAATTAGTGCTTTCTTTTTAAAAAAGCAGTAATGGCAGGTCTTGTGATCAAAATCGTTTAAATGCCTGTTTGGACAATAATTATGTATTTGCATATTTTTAGAGCAAAACAACGATTAGAGCATTCCCTGTAAAAAACAGATTTAGCAAATATAAAAACACATAGCACATCTTAAAATGCTCCATCACATGTACGTTTGTCAAATTCAGGTGCACAATTCAGCCTGATAGCCATCATAAACCCTACGATACAAGCCTTTAGTGTTTCAGTGCTGAAATAAAGCCAAATGGCATTGATGATGCGCATCATTTACTGGGTGCTCATGAGAAGCCACGCAACATTTCTTGGCAACTTGATGGGAAAATATTTGGGGGAAAAGAACGAAGAACCCAAAACTCAGAGTTTTGGTAACCCCAAGTACTGCAGTAGCTAAGTCCTTCCCTAGCAAATAAAACAGGCAACAGAACCTAGACCTTAAAACCCTCAACGGTAGCTCACAACCAGTTCCAACGCCTTCCTACCTTTGTGGGCCAGGCCTGCGTGCGTGGGTAGATTTGAGTTTTCAGGCCAACGGTTTCATTTTAAAGCTAAAGTTGAAGGCTACGTTAAGTGCAAGGATTAGGAAACAAGAGTAGTTTATAGGAGTAATCCACCTGGCAAATTACGTTTTGGAGAGAAGGAAAATCCTGTTCTCAAGCGAAACGTCTGTAGGCGACGTCTCAAATGCCTCTGCGGCAACCAAACCTCACCTGGGGACCCACAGCACCTGCAGCTGCCTGACTTTGAAGATATCTATTCTTGCTGTTCCAAAAGGTTGCCTGGCAAAACCCCCCAGCCTACACAAGCAGATTTCCAGCTCTTGCCTAAGCTCTGCTGCTACCAAAAGATGGAGCTGAAGGGTGTCTCAAGGCCATGTAATCAGCTCCAAGTCCAGCCCGGTAGGTATGCTTTGAAAACACGTCACGCGTAGGAACAATGCTGAGTTTCGCAGGAACCGTCAGACTTGCTATTGTTTTTCTTCAATGAAAAGGGAGACTTGGGGCCGGCAGGAAAACATGTGGATTCAATTCCATCCTCTGCCAGCCAGAGGCTATTCAACACCGTAATTTCCCTTTTATTCTATAACTAGGTTTGAATCCCTTCAAGCACAAGAGGAAACTGAACGAAGGGTTTCTGTCCCCTTGGGCACCTACTCGACAATAGCACTATTAAATGAAAGAGGAACAGCAACGCGTGTTAAAGAGAACAAATTGGGTTGAGATAGATATTTCCTCCCAGAGTGATGCAGCAGGTACGTGCGAGCACGGATCTCTCCCCATTGACCGCGTAAGGACTTTGGCTACCCAAATTGTCCCACTTGGCTGAGACACTTACTCAGGAGTGGCAATCCTAAATAGTTGTAGCATGCAAAGACAACGTTGAGCAGCTGGTGCTGCGGGCCCTAGCACAGGCGCTGACGAGCCCAAGCAGGCATTCTGCACTGTACTTCTGGGCCTAGACCTAAGTCACTACGAAATTGTAAGCCTTATTATCACTTTTCCCCTATTCTTTTTTGGAAACAAACATACTTTCCAAAACTCTCATTCCACATGAATAGTTAACGCTAATCACGGAAAAGTAGTGATAGGATGAGAATGGTAAGATTTTTCTTTTTCTTTTTGCATGTTTTGCATTATAGGGCTTTATCTAGAGAACTGTAGTTTGGGGTTGGTAAGCAGTTTCTCTGACCGTGATATACAACATCTGAATTAATATAAATAAAGATATGACAGTCATTGTCATATATTAAAACAAACACACTTGCTCAAGCATTTGCAGGCATGAAGATTTGTTTGAGACATTTCTACTCTCCACAGGGGGTTATTTTCCTTGCTTGACATGTCTAAGAAACATTTGACCTCATATGCAGTAAAAAATTCTTATGAGAGTTGTTCTTCAAGTAAGTACTAAAACCACGAAGTTTGTGCACTGACATCTGGGGACCCAGCTGGCTCTCGGGTTGACTGCTGTTTCTATGGAAAAGCTCTGTAAAGGTGCCACCACCGAGTCATTTACATCTTGGAAATCAGAAAACAGCCAAAAATCTGATCTAGTGTTTTTTACTTCTAATTGCTCGCACAGGACATTGTTTTGAGGCACTTCTGCTCTTACGTTTATATTTCTCAATGCGTCGGCAGCGTGTAGCTGGGATTATTAATAGTAATGGTGACGTATATACGCTTTCTCCCACATGAAAAAAATATGTTGTAGAACTTAGGTCTAAGCCAATTGTTTGCAGTAATGAGGCCATAATGTGCACATTTTTGAAGTTGAACAATATTTCTCCTAATAATTATATGCTTTGGAGATGCCTATTAAAGCCTAAAGTGATCATTTAAATGCAAAATCTCAGATAGAACTCGACTATATTTTTCATACTAAATTAACATTATGGGCTTGTAATGGATGTCTTAATTAGATGCTAAGGTTATATGCAATATTTTGGAAAATAAAATCTGTCATTGTGAAGCATCCATTAAGTTCAGTTCTTGTCAGTCAGTATTAGTTTCTTTTCTGATCATCATTGCTTTAAATTGTTATTGTATAGCTAAGTATCTACCAATAAATCCTACCATTATGTGCAGTACCAAGCAACCTATCATTATGTATATTACACAGTGCATTATTGCCAAACAAACTACTTATTAGTCATTTCTAATTACCATTGAGCAGCACATACCACAAAACCTTTGCTTAAAATGCTGCATTTTTAACTTATATTAGTATTCTTAGTATTTAAAAATAAAAACTTTATATCCACTGAGTTTTAAATCTTGCAGTATCTCTAACTCACCTAACTCCTAGATCAAATCGGCTGATAAAAGTTAGAAAAAATAAAATAACGTCAGATCAAATAGCATTCTGAAAACAAACAGAGATGTTTCCAGGAAAATAAGGAATGAATGATGAGAACAGTAAAATAAAAAGGTGGATAGAGAATAATGTAAATGTTTACCAGTAATTTTTCCATTGGCTTCTAACGGTGGCTGCCAGCTGACAATGACAGCTCGGGGCTTCCCCTCCCGTGTAATGACTGTCAAATCCTTGGGTGCAGAGGTTGGAGCTGAAAAGAATGAAAATAATTGGAAAAAGAAGTTATTCACTTTCCCTTGAATTCCTTATATACTGTAACAAAAATGGACTATGCAGTACGCATTTACCGCTTTCTTAGATCCTTTCAAATGCAGGGATCCTTAGAGGCGTTTCAAATATGTAATGCATGATTTCTACAAAATCATAATAAGTGTAGATACATAAGGATTTGGTGAATAGCACTTCTCCTCCTATAGCTAATGTTGGTCCTTATATCTAAACTATCCCTGAGGTCTCCAAGTATATCTAATACACTTTAAGAGCCCAATACATTTAAAAACAGTAATAATATTGTGGACTCTCTATTAAGAACATCTTTAGGTACCTACCCGTATAAAACCACATGCAATTGTGTACGTTTATTAAATACATGCTCAACTTTGGACATTTTGGACTTGATAACAACTTCTTAGCTTTTGTATTATTCACTCTATAAAGACAGAAGGCTGGATTTCTGAGTCAATGTGTGACTCAGACTGAGTGTCTACTTTGCACCCTGCTATATGATATGCTGGCCATGAGGTCTTACACAGTGTCTCAGATATTTTAAGACAATTTCCTAAGATTGTGAAGGAGAAAAGAAAAACTGGCAATTATTTAAAAAAAATGTAAGTGAGGAGTATTATATTGGCGCTGGGCTCACTGTTCATTTATTTGGTTTGACACAGGCCGCTGATAACTTAGAGTGTATACATAACATAACAGCACGGAGAACACAGCGTACGAGCATCACGTCATCCGTGTCCTACCCGATAACTTTTCTGAACCTCTGAAGAACTGCTCCAAAGCCATTCTATGAAGTATTGCTTTTAAAATCAGTTGGGTTATGCTGAGCTAAACCAGCCCAATCTAAAGCAAACACACACCCTCCAGAGGTGGAGACTTGAACTTTTCAGAAGGGGAATCCCCAAGCAACCAAGACATACATACAAGGAAAACGAATGTTCTTCCTACCAATGGTATATTACTAAGGACGTGATGGCTCACCAGCTGATGCTCTTTGGGGCAGCTCTTCATGGCTTTTTGGCCATGGTAGATTGTTGACAGTATGTGCTGGGACAGCATGTTTGGTCTTGTACGTCCAGAGCCAGCACCACTGGGACTCTCAATGTCTAGCTTCAGCCCTGTCATCTTGAGTTTCTTAGCTGAATGGATCTTTAGTAGCCGGAAGCAGGCAGGCCCCAAAACAAAATCCGTAGCCCTTCGAGAAGCCTCTTGAGCCTGGGTAATGCACAGCAGGACATGATCCCCAGCGCTAGGGAAGTTTGTGTTACGCCAGAGGCCTCCAGAGGGTTGTGCTGCCTTTAAAGGCTCCTCAGCTTCCACCCCAGCTGGAAGAAACATCTTGGACTGCTTGCTATTTCAGGGAACTGCCAGTGATTTCCCTTTCATAAACTAATCAAGCTTGATTTTAAAAGTAAAATTTTCCTTCTCTTTACTTTTACTAAGTCTATTCTCCAGTATTCTCCAGTATCACGTATATGATTGTATTTCTACCTAAGTGCATCCATCTATTCATACACAAACAGCATCTTTACCTTACACACTGCTTTTCTTTCTCTGATACTTGATCTCTTGACATGTTTTCACGCGCTAATCCTTTCCCTTACTAGTTTTTTGACTTTTGTGAGGCTAAACTACTAAAGTTGGTTAAGTCTCCTCCTGTAACATAGGCTTTCCATTCTGCTGATTGCCTCATGAGTCCTGTTGAATGGCTGAAGTTGAGCTCTGCTTGCAGCAGATTGTGAACATAAGATACCATGAGAAAAATCCAAGCTTTAGCTGTTTCCCTTAGCACTCATTAACACCTCTCATATCAGTAAGACTTGTGCAGGCAGATCAGAGAAAGGGACTTAGCTCTGAGAGCTGCTTTTGAATTATGGCCGTAACAATTCTCCCTGGCCCATGGTAGCAACCTCTAGTGAGTTCTACATTGATGTTGATATGAACATTTTTAAATAACGTTACTGGAAATTCAGCATGCAGAATGGGTACAAAATAGGCAATAAAGATCAGCAATGCAGGATGCCCTTAATTAACAGAGCTGCTCCATCAAGCTCAGATAATTGCATTGCAATTGCATGAAAAAAGCTAAGGACACATATACTCCCTGAGTTAATTAACTGGCGTGTACTGTGGTTCTCATGAAAAAAAGAATATATATTTACCAGCAGACTTTATTTGGTAGCTACAAGGGAATATATCATGATACATAGGAAATCACAAAGATTGTGGAAAATCTACTGGTTTTGCAGTATACAGCCTCAATTGTAAGAGGAGAGGCTGGAAGCATGGGATGCGGCTACCGAAAGGAATAAAAAGGCAGGCAGCCAGGGTTGTGGAGCACAGCTAGAATTAGACAGAGCAAGCAAAGACTTCCTGATCTTCTCCCTGTTAAGGGCTGCTGCTCTCTGCTGCTGAGGTCTGGCAGTTCAGCGGAGTTACTTCAATCTACTCTGCGCTTTCACAAAAGGGCCTCAATAGCGTATTCTAAATGTACAGTAAATTTAATGGAGAACACTAGCCTTTCTCAAAGACAGCCCAGGGAATTCTGTGCTCAGGGTACCATTCATGCCTACAGAGTAACTAAAAGTAAAGCCCAGGCATGTTATTTCCCTACTGCCGTTATTTTGTAGGTGTATAAGAGAGAAAGAAAAAATAAAGTTTTGGAAAGCATCGTCTCATCGTCTCCAGCCCTTTTCAAATATTTTTATCCCACTGAATCAGTGTTACATGTAATATGCATCTGGTGTCTGTTATCAAAATTGCATTTAGGCTTCTTCAGAATGCGAAGCAGCTTTCAGGTAATAGCTTTCAACTTGAAAAATACCACAGGAACACTTGAGAATAGCAGCTATATAAAATCTTTAAAGCGTATTTATTTATTGTAAGTATATTGTTAATATTAATAACGGCTGTTTGCTGGAAATTAAATATAGATGTATGAAGGCACTAAGCACAGGAAAGATGCCTTACCCGATCAGTCAGAAGGGCTTTTATACAAGTTAACATGTTCTACAGAGTAGATAATTGTGTCTTTGCATTAAATAATGTACAGGCTGAAAAGACTGCTCACTTGACTTTCTTCTTCTTGTTCTCACCTGATCTTCGGTTTCTTTGAAAACTGCAAACTGTTTTAAATCTTTAACATCAAAAGTCGTATACGGTATTTATGGGGCAAAGTATTCCCTGAGTTTCAAAACCTGACAGTTCCTTTTTACTGATTTACACACTAATGTATGCAATTAATAATAACAACAATAAAATCAGCAAGTCTCCACGCACCTGCTTCATAGGTTGTGGCGTGTGCGGTCATGCTCCACGTGCTCGACCGCCGACCTTTGGTCACCATGACGGAGAACTCGTACATGGTGTTTGGCTTAAGGCCTATCACGGTGTGACTCAAAGCTGTCGTATCCGCCGACTGCAAAGAGAAGCAGGGAAAAACATCTTTAGAGTCACTCTTTTTGCTTGTAATTAAGCAAAATGCAGTCCCAAAGAATGCCTTTTTCAAGCAGAACAGGTCTATCGCCACCGCGTACCTTAATGGAACTATTTTTAGTACCATAAATATGATACTAAACTTGGTGCCTATAATTCAGGCAGTTAAATAAATTACTGTGATGCTTTCTCTTTCTCTTTCCCCAGACAAAGTAATTTGCGACGCGTTTTTTTTTTTTTTTTCAAATGCAAATTGAAAGCTAACACCATGGCCTTCATCTGTGCCCACTTGAGGAAAAAAAAAGAAAAAATTCCATAACTTAAACATTCATTTTCAGCCTCTTTGATGGGTTCTTTCTCAAATACAAAATGTTTTTAACATCTACTGATTCTTAGCAGAGGCTCAGCGGAGCCTCTATTAACAGTCTTGACCAAGGCTTTCCAGCTCCTGGGGTTAACACATATTTATGAAAGATTAAAATATGTCCCAGGACACATGGATAAAGATGTATTTTTGCATTCAGAAAACACTTTTGCTCGGTTAAATATAATTTTTTGTATATTATACTTGAAACATATTATTGATTTGCCTCACCACAATTTGTTATGAACAGTGAAACATCTCGAGTTTGATATGAATATTAAGTTGTTCATTTGTATTTAGCTGATTTAGCTTTTCACCTCAGCCCATAGTAAGGAACAGTTTGAGAAAAACTGCACTAGTATCAAAGGAGACAAGCGAGAAGAAAATTATGGGACAAACTGTTGACAACTGAATGAAAGCAATGCCGCGCTTTCCAAGCTTCAGAGCCTCGTGTCCAATCCCCCAGTGTCACCTGCAGTAAAGTCAGTTAAAGGTGCTCCACAGTTTTAAATATTGCTGGACTTACTGACCTAAAGTTTACTGAATAAGGACTCACACTATAGAAGGGAAGAGCATATTGGATATTCTCATACAACATATAAATGACTTTCCATCAGAAGACCGAGTCGATGTTCCCACTTTGAAAGAAGTTTGGAACCAGGCACCTTGCTGGTATTCATCAGCACTGCCGTTCTGATAGTAATCATCAAATCAAATGAGTCAAAATAAACTAATGAACCCTTATTAAAAATGGTACATCCACCTTCTAAGGCACTACAGAATAAAGTAATAATTGTCATAGAGAAGTGCGAGAAATTTGCTTTTGAGACACTTTAATGAATATACAACGTATGTCTGCATGGTATGCTGCTTTATCACGAGTGTTCTGACAGATATTTTGCATACTACTTAACAGGAAGGCTTAATGCACTACTAGATTTTATCATCTTCACACTCAGCTAAAGCTCCTAGTCCTTGGAAATGAGCAGTTTTGCAACTTATTTGTGCTACGACTCCAACACAGTGCCTTTCTTCATAAAAAGTCTTACTGAAGCAAAGACAGTACTTATAACCTAAGTATTCATAAACTACTCAGCCAGGACAATGACGGAAAAATCTACCTGTTAGCATTTACAGGAATTATTCTTCAACTAAAAGCCAGATTTCAAAATAATGAATAACAATTTTCTCCTTAGAGTAGATTTTGGAAGAAATGAAATGATCTGTGGCATAAAATACTGTTCAGCACGATTAAGGGTAACTAAATTTGATAATCATCACTATGAAAGTGCTCAGGTATTACACACGATCAGGAAAAATTCACAGAAAAAAACAGTGGAGGTTGAGTCTACTCCTGGACAAAATAGTCTTTAGCGGAACATAAAGACACTAGTTCCTCTTTTGTAAAAAGAAAGTTATTTATCTCCAGCTGAGTGTTTTTCTTTGAATTCTTTGCTCTATACTAAATATTAGCATTTCAATAGTCTCAAACATCCTTGAAGTTAATATCACGTGGCGATGAAGGGGATATATACTGTAACAAGTACCTTTAATAAAGCCGCGCTATGCCTGTTTGGGCCAGTTTTTACAAAGTAAAGTTGACAGGGCAAAGTTAAATTTATAATTTTTTTTTACTTCAATGGGAAAGGCTAAAACCTTCATTATATTAGATTTGATATACATTTTTGAAGTCATGGTAAACTTTAATGGGAAAAATCTGAAAAGAATTGGAGATTCAACACAAACATATATACAAGGGCTATAGAAGCCTGATCCAAAGCCCTCTGGAGATCCGTCTCTGAATAAGAGTCAGATCAAGCTCTGGTATTCCAAACATCACACTGCGTTGTTCTGTAATCCTCAATTACAGGAGAATTTATTACAACTGTTAACAAATCCCAGGTACATGCTGCACGAGTACACAAAATTATGGTTATTAAGAAGTCTAATATTGCTGTTCATCACTTCAGGATCTGAGGCTACGAGAAGTATGGTAACAGGTGTAAGACTGAGGCAAGAACACTTTTTCCTTGGAAGGACGAACAATTATTTAAAATCTATACGGTAGGTCAGCACCTGCAGCAAAAAGACAGCTGACCTGAGTCTCCTTTCAGTTAACATAAATGCAAATCAGGAGTAATGCAATGGAAATCAATAGTTACGGCGGCATACGGCCAATGCAAGCACCGCGCTGAGTGCCAGCGAGCCCCCGTGCTGGCAGGAGACGTGCATGGGTGACAAGCTGGAAAATTGCATTGGGAAAAGGGATTGAAGGCAACACCACCTTTTCATCCTCGCATCTTCCAAAAATTAGCTGAGAACTAGGAATTAGAGTTTGCAAGGCAGGTATGTAAAAGTATTTTGAACCTGGAAGAGGCAAATAGCCATCTTCTGGGTTTTAGAAAGGCCAGCTTATATTCAGACATGTAAAGCAGGCTTGAATCTAAGGAGCCACAGCGCTGTAGAGAGCACGGCCTGTTCTACAGCCCTAATAAAAAGCAGTTGTATGAGCTTGATGTTAGAATAGAAATCAGTCAAAAATGGGGAATCCACTTGCAGTATAAAAATATATCCATAGCAAACAACTGAGTATGGATCAATATAATCCAGCAGGCAAGAGAAGACAACTCTTATGACAGGGCATGGCAGGAAGGACATGCTCACTGTGGGCCAGGAGGATATTATATGAGACGCAATATAAAAGCTGACAATAGCGTGCAGAAAGATAGCTTATTTTTCAAAAACAAGTGAACAAAAAAAGTCTAAACTCCATGCTTGTTCCTTTCCACTCCCTGTCTCACCATAGCTCTTTGCTGTACCAAACCTGGTTTAACACTGCTTTTATTAACATTAGGACTTGAAAAAAATGCACATATAGAAAGTAGTATACCCCTGCTGCTGTCACAGACTTTCAGATTCAGAAGTTTTCTGATAAACTAACCTTAATTTTTGCTGTAGGGGATTATTTAATATGGGTCAAATTTCCATATGGTGTAGTAGTATTGAAATTGCTATGCCTTCCTATACATGCTACACTGCTGTGCTATCACACCTGTGACTATCTAATTTAAATCTAATTGGTAAAGATTAAAGCTCAAAACTTTCAACAACTGGCATGTGGAATTAAAATATGGCATTTTCATCAAACCAAACAAACAAATACACAGGGCTGTACCAGGTAGTAGATAGGCAGGCTAGTCTCCTCCTGACTGAAACAGGAATTTTGGCTGAGGGAAGTTCCTAAAAGTCGGTTTAGAGTCTTTGCAAATAAAAGAGGAACACATCAAATAGCTCATCAACTCATAACATGTTAAAATTTCACCTTGTATTTAGCACTTGTAGAATAGCTGGTTCTCCATCGGACAGTGTAAAAGCGAACCTCAGTAGTCTTTTGGTTCTTCGGGACAGAGTTGTCTGCCCAGATGACCCTCACTGCATCATGGGTAAGTGCAACAGCCTGGACACCTACTGGTGGGAGCATGGGGGTGGAGATATCTGGGACTGAGGTAGGGAAATCATCAAGCAAAGGATAAAAATCAACTTCTAATGGATCAATGGGGTCTGGGTTCATACATCACCAAATGAGCATTCCAAAATAAATGAATAGGTAGTTAAACAGAAAAAAAAGAAAACAAAACACAAAACAGCCACCAAGGGGCACACATCACAATGGGTTAAATGCATGGCATTAATGAGGAGGAAGAACATGAGAAGAACAGAAAGAAAGGCATTAATGCAAAATGAAAACATATCAACAACATTTCAGTTACATTACTATAATAAAACTAACCAGCACTAAGTGCTCTTTTTCAAAACTTGACCAAATACTTTCATGTATGCTTTGTTTTCTTCGCACAAGATGAAATCAGAATGCAGAGTTTCTCCTTAAAATGATGTACAACTTCTTAAATAATTAGAGCACATGAACGACACATTATTAGAAACGCCTACAAAGTAGAGAGTGCGTCATCCTCAAGTCTGATTTTATAGACATGACACACACTCGTGTGTGTAGGAGTTACCTATACTTTTTTCTTTCTCTGCAGCCTCCTTTGTTGTTTTAGGCTCTTCAGAGGAACATTCCCTGCATCTGCCTAAACATTTGTTAGGCAAAACAGAACATAAAAATTTCAATATTAAAATGAACATCTTGCAATTCTTGATTTAATAGTGTCATCATGATAAATGTATGTATCCAGGTATAGATGTGTGGAGTATCTTTCTCATCTTCAAGTAGGTTTTCTCCTTGAGGAATAAGCACTGTCCTTCTGTCATGTATCCGTGATCAGATAGCCTTCGGAGAGCAAGAGATTGAACGCAATACTACACGGTCCACGCACATGGCACAATGCCGTACTATGCGATGTTAGTATAACAGATGGGGCAAATTCTGGTGGGTTTTATTACAGAAGCAGTTGCAAACGTTTCATTTCATTTCCATGCGTTCAGTTCTGAGTTGTGTGCTGACGCATGCAGTTAACTAAGGCTGGCATGATAACTCCATGATAACTCTTCTCCTTCCATTTCTTTGTACCTGCAGTTACTGAGTTAGGGTGGCACGAGAGAAGAACCAGACTCAGCACATGGCTTTGGCAGACTGTTCCAACACCAGCCAGTTTAGCTAAGTACTTGAAGGTTAGGCTAGGCGTAACCACAACCAGCTGGTTCAGTTCACTTGAAGACCAGATTATCTGGACTTCACCTCCTTGACAACACGCCCCCCTCCATAAGCAGGGCTCACTCTCTTTACAAGTATGTGAAGGTGTCTGTCTTTCAGTAGGCTAGTGACTCGAGGACATATTCAGGAATGGAGACCTTGGCTTGAGACTTTCTCTAGAGTTGAGACCTTTCTCAGAAGGTTTGAGACCTTTTGAGAAGACCTAAACGCACCAGTCTTGCAACAGGTGCTCTGCTGACAGAGCAGCCTGGGCAAGGGAACCCTCCAACTCTCCTGCTGCAAAAGAGTGACTCTCCAACTAAGAGTAACAAAGTTATGGGTCACACAGGATGACGAACAGGAGGGACCTTCTGGGAGCAGAGAATGACCTAGACTGTTTAGCTCTAATCCAGAGTCACGGGATAGAAAAATCAAAATAATTAAAACAAAATCTCATCTCTCACCTCTCTTTGCCAAGTAGCCAAACCGCTCGTTTATAGAGTTAATCTTCGGATCTAAACGCTGTTTGGCCCTAATGACTTTCACGCTCGTGGCTTTTCTGTGGCTCTGCTTCAGAAGAATGAAGAACCCCCTTCTTTTCTTACCCCCAAAGAGTCTGTAGACCAGCGCTTAAGGCATTTACTTCCGACATGAGAGACAGCAATATGAGTCTTCTCAGAAAGGGGGTGTTCATACGCCCCAGCCTCTACGTGTCTACTCTAATCACCGGGCTAGGATGGGCAGTGGCAGCTACAGCACCATCACTCCTTGTATTGCAGTTATTCTTTCTAAATGAAAATGACAGTGGCTATTGTATAAATTACAATGTCTTCACATTGTGTCTGAATTGTGCTGGAATTCACATAGCAACCACAGATTTTTTCTGTTCAGTCTAGATACTTCTGTCCTTAGCCAAGGTTTAAGCATCTATGGACAATCTCAGTCCTATCTTTTAAAATTACACTTACTGACTCATTATTTACCTGCTGTGATTTTTCTAAATACAATTTCCAACAGCAATGCGTAAAATACAGCAAAAGTACACCAAAAGTTTTTGTTTCCCCTAAAATAATGTGCTAAGCAAATAATCAAAGCAAAAATGATTCTGCTAATTTCCTCACTGACAGTTGCTACAGTTTGTTTGCTCCATGTGCACTTCAAACTTCTGACACTCTTTGATCACTTCTGTTTTGATTTTGTAATTCATTATTTAGAACTTCAGGAGGCCACAGCCTCCAGAGTGGAAAACAGAGGAGACAAGGATGTTTACAATGTACAATAAGCCATTAGTTCAACCAATTTCTTTTGTTGCTTCTTTCACCAGAAGCTTCTTTACGTGAATATGAATGCTGAAGAAAACGAAGCAATCCGGTGCTTGTCCTGGTGCTCAGGAAACCAAACCACCGCTCCGCATGGCGAGGGATGGGCAGCTGGATCATTTGTTGCCTACTGCCGGTGAATCAGTCTTCTACAAGATTGAAAGTTCCCAGTTTCTTGTTCTGAACTGAAATTTTCCAGAACTGCCTGTAAAGTTGGGAACGTGAGTAATTCTTGTTTCTGCGTTTGCTCACGTAACTAATGATGGAAGTTAACGTGAACGGAGCTAAAGCTCGCGTTTTAGCAAATACTGCAGCTCTGTTCTCCAGTTGTTCCCATATTGAAAACTGAAGGCTGGCACGGGAGATTATGAAAAGAGGCTAGGTTTAGCAAAATAAATGGTTAGACTGAATCAATCAAGATAATTCAGTTTCTGAAGCATTTCAGCACTGAA